TACTAATCATTCTTCTTTTTATAGAGCGGTTTTATTTCCTGAGTGGGTTTACTTAAAAGCTGAATAAAAATAGAAAAAGAAATAAAAATTACGTTCCTAAAAGAAAGAAGAAAACTGGTTAATGATGATCGAGCAAAAAAAAACTTTTTCAAATAAATGAAATACCTACTTCACTTCAAAGTCAAAAGTTCTGAAAGAAACATAATCTGAACTGTTTCTGCAAAAAAAAGAAAGCAACGGTTGGCAATAACAGAAAAAAAAGTCTTGAAACACAGACATACTCTTTATTCTATTCAAAGTCCCAATACATTGCTATGAGAAACAAAATTGATAATAATCAAAAAACTCGACCTAAATAAAAAATAAAAAAGACCAAACTGTTCCTAAATACTATACAAAAGAAGAAAAAGGTTAGTAAGCAAAAAATCTTTCAAACGAAATGAAATATCTACTTCAGTGAAGTTCAATTCAAACAGAAATTTGTGTTAATAAAGATCCTGGGCCTTTCTGTAAAAAAAAAAGCAATCTCATTCACCTTTTACTAACCAAGTTGTTAAAGTTGTAAATGAATATAGGGATAATTGTGCAGCTAAGAAAAAGGTCCAATTTGTTCCATCGTGAGATCAGATACACAGGTTTAATAATTTGAACAATACTCTTAATGGTAGATTGCGTGATGAATCAAGTGACGCCTGAAAAAGTAATTTCTATTAACAACAAGCGCACAGATACTGAAAGTACAAATAGTAGGGCAAGGAGATTTGTTAAAAGATAGATGTCTAGTTTAGGGTTTTTTTTTTGTTCCTCATGTAAGTAGATAGGTATCGCCTTTATCAGGCATTTTACTGTATACAAAAAAATGAGAAAAGTGATCACGTGACTAAAATGATCTACATCGCAAAAAAAAAACAATAAATCTTACATCTGTGACTACGTTTGACTGTCTTTGTGTCCATTAACGCCCTTTATTTTTGTGAGAAATTCCAAAACAATGACTTGCACAAAAAGAAAACCTATAATAAATTCTCATTAGACTAATGGTATATTAATATATTATTAGGCACATAGTATTCAATATGGTCAATGTTGAATAATGAAGTGCCTAATAATGGTTATATCCTTGGTAGCCTTAATGATCATGATTTTTTCATATCCGTATGTTACACATAATGAGAACTTATTTGTTGGTTAAAATAGTTTAATAGTTAGTTTGTCCTTTTCTCATTTTCACGAAAAATTTTATATTACGCACTTAATAAATAATATCTGACATAACAATGCCAGATATGAGCAAAAAGATCGGCATCATGATCCTTTGGGATACCGCATATAACACAATAATTTAAGCGGTAACAGGAGTATAATTAAATTGAATACTAGTATAATTAAAATAAATTTTGTTTGAACTTTATTATAGCTTAAATGATTATAAAATTTTTTATATATTTTACTATTGAAATTTCGGGTGTTCATATACGTATCACGTGACTTTATTAAAAAGTTATGTAAAAAAAATTTAATAAATATAATTTTTTAAAAAAACATGTAATATGTGTATTTTTTTCTGTTCTGCAAGTTTATTTAAAGTGTCATTGGTTTATTTAACAAATTCTTTTGTTTTTCCTGATTTTCGTTAAATTTTAATTCTGCCCAACATTAAATGATAAGTATAGAACATTTACTTTTTTGGAAACCTGCGTTTGAACATCCCATGTACAAATAGGAAATCATCTTTATTATTAATTTAAAGTTAATAAATAAATTAATTAAATTAATATATATATATCATCACATTTTGATGTTGCCTCCTTGTCTTGCTGATTCTGGAAAATTATATATGTATTGGTGTTTCTTGCGCTCCTGGTTGGATATTTCGGCTAACTGAAATATTATTTAAAAAAAGTGTATTTATTCAGCCAAAAATAGTAGATATTGAACCAATAAAATATTCAAGATCAACATGAATTTTTTTGGCTGGGTATTATTAGCCGAAAATTCACTGCGCCTTCGGCTGAATTTTTTGGCCATTATTGCAATACTTGTACTTGTGATCAACATTTAGTATACAATGCGTTTTGCATAAATATTATTACCATATTTATCTGTACTAATAAGGCGTTTAAGATAAATAATAAAAAAAAAGAAAAAAGATAATTATTTTATTTATCTTTCCAATTAGGAAGAATTTGATATAGTAATGGATCATAGAGGTAATTATATAGCATAAATATTTAATATAAAATTAGAATTATCCCTAAACAATTTTGCAAATATAAACTAACTATATTATATAAAAATTATATAGCTCGTAAGTTAATAGGTTATCTTATAATTAAATAAAATTAAATAATACCAGAAACTAATTATTATTTTCATTATATTCTATGTACTAAATAATTTATTTAATGATTAATAATATCATAGTTTGTAAGTTATCAGTTATTTAAATTTTTAGTTTTTACTATTTATTTTACATAATATTCAAATAACTAAATTCTTTGTTTAAATAACTAATTAATTATATTACAGCTGGTAAGTTATAATACTTAAAAATGTTATATTTAATATTGTACTCATTTATTAATATTTTAATATAATTTAACTAATTATATTCTTAATTTAATAAATAGATTGTAAGTAATATATTCAATTTATAGTGAATATCTTTCTATTATATTTATATTTAACTAATTAAAAATTAATAATAATTCAGGGTGTAAGTTATACGATGTCTATATTTCTATTGTTTAATCCACAATTTAAGCTAACTAAATTTCTTTATTTGAAAAATTATTTAAATAATATAGTTCGTAAGTTATTTATTTAATTCTATTATTACTTATTGTTGTAATATTTACATATAATTTAAACTAACTAAATTTCTTTATTTAAAAAATTATTTTATAGGTGGTACGTAATTTATTTAATTCTATTATTACTTATTGTTATAATATTTACATATAATTTAAACTAACTAAATTTTTTATTTAAAAAATTATTAAATAATATAGGGTGTAAGTTATTTATTTAATTCTATTATTACTTATTGTTATAATATTTACATATAATTTAAACTAACTAATTTCTTTATTTAAAAAATTATTAAATAATATAGGGTGTAAGTTATTTATTTAATTCTATTATTACTTATTGTTATAATATTTACATATAATTTAAACTAACTAATTTCTTTATTTAAAAAATTATTAAATAATATAGGGAGTAAGTTATTTATTTAATTCTATTATTACTTATTGTTATAATATTTACATATAATTTAAACTAACTAATTTCTTTATTTAAAAAATTATTAAATAATATAGGTTGTAAGTTATTTATTTAATTCTATTATTACTTATTGTTATAATATTTACATATAATTTAAACTAAATAAATTTCTTTATTTAAAAAACTATTTAAATAATATAGATAGTAAGTTATTTATTTAATTCTATTATTGCTTATTGTTATAACATATAATTTAAACTAACTAATTTCTTTATTCAATAGATTGTAAGTTATAAGTTATTTATTTAATTCTATTATTACTTATTGTTATAATATTTACATATTATTTTAAAAAATTATTTAAATAATATAGGGAGTAAGTTATTTATTTAATTATTATTTCTTATTGTTATAATATTTACATATAATTTAAACTTAAATAAATTTCTTTATTTAAAAAAATATAGGGAGTAAGTTATTTATTTAGTTCTATTATTACTTATTGTTATAATATTTACATATAATTTAAACTAACTAAATTACTTTATTTAAAAATTATTTAAATAATATAGAGCGTAAGTTATTTATTTAATTCTATTATTACTTATTGTTATAATATTTACATATAATTTAAACTAACTAAATTAAAAAATTATTTAAATAATATAGTTTGTAAGTTATTTATTTAATTCTATTATTACTTATTGTTATAATATATACATATAATTTAAACTAACTAAATTTCTTTATTTAAAAAATTATTTTATAGATGGTGCGTTATTTATTTAATTCTATTATTACTTATTGTTATAATATTTACATATAATTTAAACTAACTAAATTCTTTATTTAAAAAATTATTTAAATAATATAGAGAGTAAGTTATTAAGTTATTTATTTAATTCTATTATTACTTATTGTTATAATATATACATATAATTTAAACTAACTAAATTTCTTTATTTAATAGATCGTAAGTTATAAGTTATTTATTTAATTCTATTATTACTTATTGTTATAATATTTATATATAATTTAAACTAACTAAATTCTTTATTTAAAAAATTTATTTAAATAATATAGCTTGTAAGTTATTTGTTATTTCTATTGTTATATATTTATATAATATTTATTTGCTAACTGTATTCTTTTATTTTAAAATTTCTATTACTTTAGTTGGTAAGTTATAAAATATAGCTTATTATTATATATATTTATACAAAAACTAAGACATATATTATCTTAAATTCCTATTTAAATTTTAGAGTAAGTGTTAATTTTAATCTTAAATTTTAGTGTAAATTTTATTATAAACATTTATATAATTTTAATTATTTAAATTAATAGATTTGGGCAAAGTAGAAACAAAATCATAGATGAATTTATTCTTGAAAAAAAGTTAAGTTGGATTCCTTATAATAAATTTAAAAATGTTGAATATCTTAATGAAGGAGGATTTGGTACTATATATAAAGCTACTTGGTCACATTATGATGGAGATAAAGAAGTAATTCTTAAATGTCATAATAATTTAAATGAAAATTTAAATGAATTTTTAAATGAAGTATGATAGTATATTATTATTTTTTAATTTAAATTATAATTTACTTATATTAATATATTATTATTTTTTATAGTGGAAATATCATAGAAGTTGTTTAAATTCATATGAAATTATTTATTTTTATGGATTTACAAAAAATCCAGATACTTTGAAATATATGGCAATAATGGATTATGCAAACAAAGGTAATTTAAGAGGAAATTTAACAAGAATAATTGAAAGTGGTTGGGGTCATAAACTATGCATGTTGTATGAAATTATTTCTGGACTTAATTGGATACATAATCAAAATCTTATTCATCATGATTTTCATGATGGCAATATTTTAAATCATAATGAGAGTCAAATTTTTATTAGTGATTTAGGATTATGTCAACCTGTAAAATCATTATTGAAAAAACACAATATTTATGGTGTTGTACCATTTATGGCACCTGAAGTATTAAGAGGCAAACCTTATACTCCAGCTAGTGATATATATAGTTTTTCTATGATTATGTGGGAATTTACATCTGGAAAACCACCATTTAATAATAAAGCACATGATATTCAACTTAATTTAAGTATTTGTAAAGGAGAACGTCCTGAAATTATTGAAAATACTCCACAATGCTATGTTGATTTGATGAAAAAATGTTGGGATGAAGATCCATTAAAAAGGCCATCTTCTAAGGAAGTTTCAAAAATTATTAATGAATGGATTTCTCTTCCTTATGATAAAAAAATTGAAGACATTAATGAAGAATTAAAATGTAATATTATGGAATTTATAAATGCACCAATTGGGCATAACAATCTTACTACCGAATCTCACTCACAGGCTTACTATAAAAGTCGCTTACTTAATTTTACTAGTAAACAATTGAATGAAATTCTTGAAAGTAAAAATTCACAAACTAGTATACAAGTGAGTGAAATGCTAGAAAGCAATGATTTGAATGAATGTATGTTTGATTTGAAGAAATTAGGTATGTAAAGTGTATATAATATAGCTGTTATAATATAAAATAAATTAATTTACAAATTAATTAATTTATTTATTTAATTTTTAGATATTAAAACAAATGAAAATTAATTAATTATTTGTGTTTTAAAAAAGATATAGCTTTTTTTTTGTAATATTTGATATCATGAATTTAACAAAAAATTGTTCTTTATTTTATTTTTTTTAGATTTATTTAAACACTAAGGCTAGAGTAGTAAAATATTTTAAAGATTCTTAGTTTGTAATTTAAATAATTCCTTTTTTTTTTATTTTATCAAAATTAAATATATATATGTATTCTCTTCTTAGAATTATTTAAACACTAGGACTAGAGTAGCTAGTAAATATTTTACAAATTCTTAGTTTGCAATTTAAATAAATCTTTTTTTTTTTATAAATTATCAAATAATAAGTATATAAACCCATTTCTAATACATAAATTAAATTTATTTAGTTTGTATTGTGGGGGGCTTCCGAAGAATGGAAAACCAAGACTGTAATCTTATTTAAAATTTTGGTCAATATAGGAATTACACCTGTATCAGAGCCGGGTGATCATCGATCAAGAATGCAAACTGGACAATACATAATACTAGACAGTTTATTTTTTAAAATTTAAAATAAATTCAAAAAGATACTTCCAGAAGCTAACCATCAACTGAGCCTTTTTCTTTTATTTTTTTTAAAGAGATTATGTTCTCTCTCACTTGTCATTGCAATTTTTATTTATACTTATAATCAGTTTTCAAAATTTTCTATTTAGACTACTAAACCAAACCTAATTTTCAGTATAAAACATATAAATTACGGCAATATTGCTATCAGAATTTGTAGATAATTCCTATAAATTGTAATTATTCTTCTAATACTTTGTCCGTTGATTATGTTGATTTTAATTCAAATCTTAATACACTAATCCTGAACCAAAGCAACTAATGCGAAATAACTGGACCTATAATAAATCGTTAAGTTCCTCATAAATCGTTAAGTCCCTCATATTTGTAAAAATGGCGGTAAAAGTTATTACTATACTTTCGATTATCTGATGGAGAATAGCAGGCAATAGTTATTTCACGGGGAGTCACTCATGAATATCAATGATTTTCACAGCGCAGCCGTGAAAATCATGATATTTATGTGACACGTGAAATAACTCTTTTATCTCATGGACAGTGATGGGAAAGAGTGGGAGAGGTATAAATAAACTATAAAAATACGTGAGCATGAAAATATCATCAGAAAAATTACAGGTATGAATATATCATCAAAAAAATCACTGGCGACCAATTAGTAAACATGGGATAAAATAGTAATAACTCCCAATATCACTGAAGCTTATTTAGATGGATTTAAAATAGACAAAGTTTATCCATCTTCTGGCTTTAATTTGATTTCTATTATTCCTTTATTTATTGTGAATGAGCAAGCTACAATTGTATATTATTCACCTATAATATTTAGCAAGTATGTTTACAGTCTTGTGGGCGAATTGGAAGAAGAATTCATTGACTTTAATGCACATACTGATCATATATTAACAAATTTATCAACCCCAAATACAACAATGCTTATATTAAGACCAGTATCAAAGGATGTTTTTTAATTTTATTATGATCGTAACTATCTTGATTTTTTTTTAATTTTCAGGAAAATAAAAATTATAATATTTATTCCTATTTTCTCTTTAGTTGCCTCAATTTTATCAAGCATCAGTGGATTCTTTAGCTTTTTGTCAGGAGTTTTCATATTTTTATTTGGAGCAACTAAGTTAGCGCCATGGTAAGTTTACTATAATTACGAATGGTATAACATTATTATTTTTCATAATATTTTATTTCTTCTTACAGGGGATTTTTTGCAAACATGTGTTAATCATTTATGTACAGAATGTCAAAGAAACTTGTAAGGAAACTTAAAATAAATACGAACCAATTCCATTCATTAGTGGGAGGACCGAAAATGTTACATTGGAAGAACGCATTCAAAATATTGAAAATATCTTAAAGAATATTATCTTGATACTAATTTTTGAATTTATTAGTAGAAGATAATAATAAAGTCAATGATAAAGCTGACAATAAAGCTTAGATAGTATAGGTTTCTTGATATTACCGTAGTATAACATTATTAAATGTATTAAGTAAGTGTAGCAATTAATATATTTGTAGTTAAGCGTTATTTTATTTTGTTTGTTATTTGATATGTAAATTTCTATCTAGCAAACCAATAAATTTCTCTTTGTAATTACGATTGGTATTACTACTAAAAAAACTGGAAGTTTTCAGGAAGAGCTATTACCTCTTATTTACAATGAACACTGCTGATCCTCAAATTTATACAAGTGTATGGGAAACGCTTTTATGTTAACTATACTGTATGATTTATATATTGACCTTGTTAATTTGGTTTATTATAGACCTTTAGGAACTTTCATTCTCATAAATTTTATGTATAGAACGAAATATTGTTTAGAACTTGGAACCAGTTCAAAAAGTTTTAAACAGTTATTCAACCGGTAAAACTTGATTTCAATCTGAGTGTTAATCGCGGATAAACAGATAAGACGGAGACTATAATTATCTGATTATTTAATCGGATACCAAATAATCGATTCTGTGGCATCTAATATGATCTTGATGGATCAATTTATATTTACTGTATCCGAAGCATAGGACACAGTCAAAACCATTCATGCACTGTCCGACTGTCCATCAATCTGATTCTTTTAACACTTTGGACTCCGTTATCTAGTTTACAGATCACGTGGGATACATTAAAAACTAACTACCCCAAGAACACCACCAAAAAATTTTCTGTAACGTATTAGAAAGAGTCTTATTTTCCCACTTAGAGCATTAAAAATTATTTAAATTGGATCATAGGAGACTTTGATAATAATTTTTGAACATATTATAAAATTTTCGTGATTTCTCAATCTTCTGTAATTCATTTTAAACAATTTTTTTACTTTGTAAAAATAGATACAATGTTTGTTTTCAAGTGGATGTAAAATAATTCCTATTTATTATGAAGTTGTGTAATTATTATGATTAAAATTTTTCTTTTTTGAATTCTTTTAACGTAATGAGATTTTTTGAATTTTCGCATTTGTTGATCGCCACGTGAAATTTGACCAATAAACTGTGGTGATAATAGAGCTTAGATCCGGTGAATGATCCTAATGGGTTATTCAGTGAATATCCTAGGATTACGGATATATCCGTTCACTTTTAGATAGGATATCCGGATTTTGCTTAAGAAAATAGGATATTCACTGAATATAATCCGGATATCTCAGATACGATGTAAATATGATGTAAATATGATGTAAATATAATGTAAACATGATGTAATAAAATTTTAACAATGGAATATTATAAGTAGTCTAGAGTTATTTCAAAAAAAAAATACTAGCTTAAAGAAACAGGATGTCTACTAGCCAAAAACATAATATAATAGAAGTACAGTAGATAGTAATATTGAGAATTACCTAGATTTTGATAAATGTCAAAATATAGATGACGAAACAACAACAATAATTCAGCTTTTAAGATTCTTTTAGAATCTGGTGGCCATAATCAGGATACGAATAAAATTTAAAAATAACTCAATGAATATCCTATGAATATCCGGATTTTACCATCCGGATTAATATTTAGAATTGATATCCGGATATCCGATAATCCGGATCTAAGCTCTAGGTGATAAATGTGACAATGATCGACAGCCCACCATATGTGTAGTACAATATTTTGTTACAATGAACTTTTTAATAGGTGTCGATCTACTATTTTTTATGGAAAGCCGTCCTTGACAAAAGGTTGATATCCAGACATAATGTTGGATAATGTCTAGAAATCATGTTTGATATATGTAGAATAATGTTTGTACATCATTCAACATGATGCTCAAGCATCAACCGACATGATGTCTTAGACATCATGTTACCAAATATAGTAAATTTTATTTTGTGTAACTCATAAATATACTATATTTAGTAATTTGATCAGCATGATGTCTAGACATCATGTCGGTTGATGTCTTTCACATCATGTTAAATAATGTACAAACATCATCCTACATATATCAAACATGATGATGTCTAGACATACCATCATGATGTCTAAATATTATATTTCATGATGTTTGGACATCAACCTTTTGTCAAGGACGGCTTTCCATAATTTTTTAATGAAATTACTATATTTGGTGTTCATTGTGAGGTTTAGAATGATTATACTACAAAAGTAATTATACATCTCAATTTGTTGATTTGTTGTACACGGTTAATTTTTTGACTTTATTTTATGCAAAGAAAATATATATTTTTTTTATTTCCGGTTTTATACAAATTGTTACTTCACTTTTTTTCCTTTCCTTTCTTGTTAATTTGTACTTTCCATCATTATCTTCTATGCTGAAAGGTTTATTTAATTACGCCAAATACTTAGATATTTCCACTAGTTGATCATATGAATTACAACTAAATAAGTAAACGGACTTTTCCGTAGTACTATGGTAAATTCTTAAGATTCCATGAGAAAATCTAGAAATACTTTCCGTATTACCAATGAAGCTCAAACTCCTGATAATTCAGATATAAATAAAATACGTATTTCAAATTTCCCAAATTCACTTGACTTATTGATACTTGTTTATAACATTTATTAATTAACTTAATAAAATGGAAATTGTAAATACAAATGATGAAAATTCTTTTGATCCAACACCAAGATTAAAATCTAGTCCTATACCAATTAAATTCATTTCTTTTAGATTATTAGATGAAAATTGTATTTATTGTGAAGAAAAATATATTAAAGCACTTTTTACTTCGCAAAAATATTGCAAAAAATGTTTATCACGTTATATTAATGATATAACTGAAAATGATATTTATTTGGATGTACACTATACAATGGACTTGGAATGTAGTGAACATGAAATATGTAGGACAAAAATACCATAAAGTATTCAAGAATTCTGTGGAAATTGTGTGAGAATTTTATGTTATAAACAAACAAATGGATATATTAGCGGATTTAACCTTGATGAAAATGATCGCACTCTATACAATAAGGTGATTGAAAGTGAACAAAATTGTAAATTATGTGGAAGGTTAATATATCGAGGAATAAATGAATGGTGTGTTGACGTTAAATTATGCTCAGATTGTTATTTAATTTCTTCTGGATTGATAGAATCAACCTTGTATAAAAAGCAAATTTCAATTCTTTACTTACCATGGTATGGCAAGCCGTACTGGTCAAAAGTGTGCCGCATTTTGCGGCAGGTGCGCCTGTTTTTAGGCGCCTGATGCGCTAAGTGCGGCAGGTGCGCCTGTTTTTAGGCGCCTGAGTGCGGCAGGTGCACATAGTTTTTAGGCGCCTGATGCGCAGGATGCGCCTGGTTTTAGGCGCCTGAGGCGCCTAAGTGCGGCAGATGCTCCTGAATGCAGCAGATGCGCCTGTTTTTAGGCGCCTAATTGCGGCAGGTGCAGCAGATTGCGGCAGGTGCGCCTGTTTTTTGTTCCTTTTCGATCATAGGCTTTTTTTGGAAATAAGCGTCTTCTGAGCTTTTAGCATAGATCTACATACATTGCCAAAATTAATTTAATAATCTGATAAAAATAGTAAAGTTAAGATTTTTTTTGGTTCCAATGGATCGGATGTTGTTTTATCCTTGAATTATCACTTTTTTTTCAACCAACTGAATTTTATTAAATTAAATGTTCAAAATAATTATGAATATAAACATATAAAAAAATTTTTATCTTAATGGATTATCCATTGTATCATTTATTTTTTTATTTTTTTTTATTTTTTTAAATTTTTTTTTTTGCTTATAATCTTCAAAGTGCAATAAAATGAATAATTTCAATGTCTTTCTTTTATAATTGGTATTTTTAGTATCCTTTTTAAATATATTTATATAGCGAAACAAGTAAAATTTATTTTTAACTTCATATGCAGTTTTACAATAAGAATTCTATTACCTTTTGATTACATAGTTGAATAAAAGATTTTGACTTTTTTTGAAATTCAGTCTCAACATTCCACCTTTCAATGTGAAATAAGTACATAACAAACAAAGAAATTGAAAAACTAACAACTGAACACAATAATCATAAAAAGTTCTTTCATGTTTGTCATTATTATTAATCATATTAATACAAGATTTTATAATTATTAAATTATTATTAAGAGTTTACAAATTATAAAAAAAAATTTTGAAATTATATACATTGGTTAATCAAATCAACTGAACATAGAATTTGCCAATCAAAATTTTTAAGATCAGCCGCAGATGTATAAAAAAAACATTAGCCATATAAGAAAAAAAAAATGTACTGTAATTAGCAGACAATTTATTAAACATATCTGGCGTCAAAATTAAGCTATGCAAAAAAATGGTCAATTGTAATACCTCTTATAGAAATTTTGATATCTCATTATTTTTTTCTTTTTACATTAGTTACTTTTTAAATATTGGCCTTGTATTGACCTTTATCTTTATATTAATGTAATATTAACATTACATTAACTGTTAATGTTTTTTTTTACTAATGATTTTATTTGATTTATTGACAATAAAATTTTTAACATGCCATTAATACATGTGTACATAATTAAATCTTTATCTCCTCCCCTTACTTCGTGTTATTCGTATTTGGTCTTCTATATGTTCTGGTAAAAGAACGTTCCAATTATCATTATCAAAACTTGTATTATCCTGCTGCTGATCTTGACTTCTTAACCTTCTCCTGCTAACTACATTACCACCACTCGTACCACCTCTCGTACCATGATTTCTACCACCTCTTCTACCTCTCCTGCTGCCTCTTCTACTAGTACTACCTCTCCTGCTGTCTCTTCTACTAGTACTACCTCTCCTACTTTCACTGCCATCAACATTTTCTTCTGTAAGATCATTTTCAACTATAGTAAGATCATCTTCAACTATATTCTGAGGTGAAGTATTATTTAATTCAATTGTAGTTTGTGTTAAATCAATTACCTCAGCGTTACTAATAGTAGAATTAAGGCGTGTATAATTATTCCGATAAGAACGTTCATCAAAACCTTCAGACTCAAAGAAACCTGTATCAAGATCAGCTTCAAAATTAATTTGTGATTCACTGTTATTTTCATAAGTATCATGAAGTATTAAAACTGAAGCACAAGTGCTTGATATTGGAAGTTTTCTTAACCTAGAGCCTGTTGATCCTGCTGTATCTCTTAACCATTCAACCTATTTAACAACAAATGAAATTATTTAAGCAAATTTCCAGCAGGTAATCTCTACTATAAGCTTGAACCAACTAAAAATGAATTTTCAATAAACTTACTTTTATTTTCAATGATACAGGTATCCTTGAAGATCCGGTTATAAACTTCATTATGAGCTCAAGGTTCTTTTTAGGCTGCTTGAATATGTAATTTTGAAACCATCGGAATATTCTTTTTCTTGTTTCTGTTATCATATTTAATTCATTTATAGATGAGTCAAATTGATCAAAAAATTCTTCATAATTTAACTCTTTGTAGAGTTGCCTTTCGATTTTCTCCCATCCATAGTCTTGAAATAGCTATTATTTAAAAATTTATTTTTTAATAATGCAATTTTCTTTCTTTTTTTTTTAAAAAAAAAAAAAATACATACTCCAATTACATTGAGAATATTAAAACCTCTTTTAAGCATTTTAAGGCTTTCCAACCGTTTAATTACAACTTCATATTTGGAAATATATGAAGATAGCTCATGATTAGTCATAGATGAAAATTGCTCAATCTAAATAAATTACACAAAAGTCATTTTAAGTAAATCAATTCAATATTTTTTTTATAAACTACATTTTGAAAATCATACATTCTTATTTCTAGTGATCGCCCATAAGGATAATTTATCGTTACTTCTTAAACCTGATTGTAAATCAATGACGAATTCATGAAGATATGGTATATATTCACCAAGTATATTAACAGCATTTATATTTTCTTCCCCATAAATTACATATACTAAATGCATTTTATGTAGCCATTTAGGCCATGCACCTTGGTGTAGCCAACACCAAAATAAAGCTTTTCCAATGATTTCAGGATACTTCCACTCGGTAGACTCATTATTATATTTAATAAAAAACGTATTTTCTCCATCATCAAACAATCGGCCACCATTAACATTTTCAGTTTTAATCTTCTCCCAAAAGAATTCAGTTGTATCTCGAAATCCACCACCTGTATCAGTCAAGCTAAATTTTAAAAAAAAATAAAAAAAATATATATTATTTATTACATTATTAATAAAATTTTTTTAAAAAATATATGATCTTACTCTTCATCATTAATTCTGATAGCTGGTTTTTTAAGGATGTCCAATACATTGGCATTATGTAACCAATTTAATAATGAAGCAATTATATCATTTCGGGTACCAATAATAATGTCGCTTATAAGATTGTCATCATCATAGAGGTAATTATCCAACCTAAATTTGTCTAATATTTGAATTCTAAACTCATCTGTATCTGGTAAGTTGTCTGAATTTATAATTAATTTGTTGTTGGTAAAAAAATAAAAATAAAAATAAAATAATTAATGGTTGTTAAATAGTAACAGCATTTGTTTATTATGAGTAATATATTACCTAATGATTGTTGAGCAAAATTAATAGCAGTCGTGCTTGTTTGAGTATTAGATCTTTGAATAACCCTATTATCACCAAAACCTGAATTTGCTCTTCTACTATTGTATTAAGCAAAAAAGTGTGAAACATTAATTTTATAAAATTTTCTTTTTTGAATTACAATAAAACAAACCTTTCATTATTATGTTCTGTACCCGAGTCATGACTTGATGATTGTTCTGATTCACTATCTGAATTATCCTTTCCATCATTAAGTACGATACTTTTTTTTAGAGGAGCAATATATAACCTCTTTCTATATGTAGCAGCACTAGTAATATATAATGTTATATATGTTATATATAATTAAGGATTTAAAAATTGATTGCTTATATTTACCTTTTTAATAATTCACGATCTATTACTTGGCCCTCTCCAAAAGGTATTAATTGATTACTTTGAGTTGGCTTTAAACATGTCCAACCATAATCCTTTAATATCGGAAAATTTTTTAATATCCTTTTGTTCACATAGTTAGCATCAGAACGTGTAAATTTTATAGTTTTCATCCATTGATTTTCTTCAAGCCATTTAAAACTAGATTTTTTAAATTTTAAAATTAAATTAAACTAAATTAAATCAAAATGCTTGTTTTTACTTACATTGAAGTGCCTTCTTTTGGAACCATGTTTTTACTTCCTTTATATCTTAATAATACCACTAGGGGCTCAAATGACTTAGTTTTTTTTCTTGTTTTATCATATAATTGTGAAGTTTCACGTATATTGATGTTATCCCTTATATTTAATAGCCTACTTCGCACTTCTTCATCATTTAAGAACCTATTAACATCATCATTTGATGAATAAGGGCCTGAAACAATTCTGTTTCTTGGAACTTGTATAGATGCGTCTCCTATCTGTCTTGAATCTGAATTTGCTGATCCAGTAATATTTTGTGTAGACAATGTATTTGCGTTAAAATTAGAATTTGCTGATGTACTATGGATCTGTGCAGTATTTGTATTTGATACATTTGAACTTTGGGCCATATTGGAATTTTGATTAGATGGTTTTTGAGATATAGTAGCCACTTCCCACTTTAATAAATTAATTTGGTATGTTAATAATAATTATCCATTCACTAAAAAATTGAATTTATAATATAGTAACTTCTTACTTGGTGATGCTCTCCTTCGTCATCATTGCACACTGCACAAATTTCTTCATTATCATTTGATTGGTCAAATTTTTGGCATTTACATTTATAACATTTCCTAGGTAGCATATCTAAATTTGGCAGATCACCAGCAAGCATTTTCTGATTGAAAACTAACTCTGCGTACTTAAAAGTTAATACAAAATAATGATTATTAAATATTATTATAATTATAATATACTAAAGAATAAAAAATGTTTCTTTATAAAACTAAAATTTATTTACTTGCTCATGGTAGTTAAAATGATGATTGCATAATCTACAAATACTTGGATTGTCAATATTTGCCTTGAATTTTTTACATGTAGAACAGGCGTAACATTTCTTTGGTAAAGCATTTATATTATCTAAATCCATCCTAAGACAATATTAGTTCAAAACCATTCAGATTTCTTTTAAGAGTAAGGAGAGTAAAAATAAGCTTAAAACAGATAACGTGTATATTACTAGACAAGAAATGGTATAACAAAAAGAAATCAGACACGTCAAATAACATGTAAAAATACAAATGTTTATAGAGTGCAGCAACAAAGTATGCTTATGAATATGTGAACACCAGTTGGTGAAGAACAGGGAAATATTACGAACAATTATATTTATACATATTTCCCATCTCTTTTTTCTATTTATATTTTGCGATGAATTACATTTGAAATACTATTGTACAATTAAAATTTCAAGCCACAAAAAAAAAGTGTACGCTTAATGATAAATCAGAAATTCGTATACTATATATTGTGCTGATTGTTACAATAAAGTTACAATAAAGATCAATAAATATACAATGTCTTTATAAACAATACAAGTAAAAAAATGAATATAAAACTAATATTCTATCAATATGAAATAAATATAAATAAAAATATAAATTCAATGTTATCGCACTTTTGCACAATCAACAGATGATCAGCATTTAGCAGATAATATTCGTTAATAATCATCTGTTGGAACCATCAGCATATATCAACGTGAATCAAGAAGCGTCAAATTATAGTATAACACATATAAATATTATCTGTTTTATTTCTTCACATGTAAAATTATGCAATCATGCAATTAAAAAAATACAATTTTTACCTTTAATTTAATATTTACAAATAAAGCTAGTGGTTCTAATATTGAAAAGATATGATTGTTTTGTAATGTGTATCTAATATCGCTTATTATATAAATATTCAAATAAATAAAAATATAGGATCCTGACAAATCCTGAAATCCATAATAGGGAATTATTGTATTTAATAAAATCAAAATTATTAATAAACAGAACAATATTTATATTGCGCCACAAATGGTAGCATATATACTACTGTATAATATAATCCATGGTTTCAAAGTCATGTACTGTAAATATTTATACTAAAATAACCCTGCTCATTAGTTGTATATAACATTTATTTTTTTAAAAAAAAAGTCAAAGGTACATCAGTATCTTTATTAATTAATTATATAAATTATTTTTCTTTATTTTTTTAATAAAAGTATTTGCAAAAAAAATATTAATTTTTGTTAAAACATAATAATTTAATAGTAATTCAATATATTATAAATGTTTTTGTTAAATAAGATTTTAAAGACAGAAATTTTATTTTACAAGAAAAAACGCGATTAACATTGATAACATAATTATTAAAATGAAATAAAAATAAAATATTAATTTTAAGGTAATGCTAAAATTCGGAAAAAATTGGGTCATATTTAGATTATCCTGTATAAATAATTTGAATTGTGTAACATTAAAAAGTGTGATATTCTTACGTCCGATCTATTTCGTATTTATCATATCATCATAATTACAAAAAAAATCTTTAAACTAATACATTTCCAGTTAATTAAAATTTCAACTGGATTTTTTTTATTCTAATGGATTAATACTAACAAAAAAAATATAATTTTTTTTACCACAACTAACCATTTCTATTAGATAGACAATAATAATTTTTTTCCGAAAAATAATTTAAATTGAATAACTTGAAATCTCATGCCATATAATTATTCGATCCGTGTACATTTTGATCAACTAATACAATTTCAGTTAATGAAATTTTTATTTTTTTTAAAAAAACTTTTCTCCCTTTCTTCTTTTGGTTTAGTTTTTTTTTTCAAACTGAAAAATTTTTTTTTTCTCGTTCTCTTTTGTTTTTTTTATACTTAAAATATAAAATTTTTACACATAAACCTTATTTCTTTACTTAATGTACTTGTAATTAAGTAAAAAGATGTGAAAAAAGTTTAAGTTTAAATACTGTTTGAATGTAAAAAACCAAGTTCGAACTTCAAATGTTTTGTCACACAAAAAATATGTAGTACAGCTCAATTTTGAAAAATAATAAACTATTTTTATCACGGTTCAGGGTTACGTACCCAATTTCATAAGACCTGGGTATTTTACTAGAAATAAAAAATAATTCCTATCTTAGAACCTGGGTAAGTTCTGGGTAATTAATAAATACTAATAAGGTGTAATTATTTTTTGTAACAATAATTTAGCGTAACACTTTTTTTTTAAAAATTTTTTAACTCACATGCAAAAAAAATTTTTCTAATTAGTCATAAGTACTATATATATTACGTATTGAAACAAATTTTGATGTGGCTTGGAACAGGTAGTAAATCTATGTTTAGATAATCTTTTTTTCCAGATATTAAAAAGAAAAATCTTAAAAAGAAAAATCAAAAAAAGAGAATAACAGAACATTTAATTACTTTGTTGAGTTAAATATAATCATGTCACAGGAAAATTTCGAAAGTTATGCTGGAGAGTGTTTATTCAATGCTATCAATATTCTAGAAAAAGGTGATGATATAAATGCAATGGAATTACAAGTAGAACGTCTTGCAACATTAGTTTCAATGTATTTAGGAGTTCAGAATTTTTATAGTGATGAGACTTTTCAAACAAAGTTAGATGATATAAATTTTGTTATAAACAGACTAAATCAAAGAATTGAGTTCTTAAATAATGACACTAGTTTTGCTGTTAGAAATTTTGTTCAAAAAGAAAAAACAGGTGGAAGACCAAAATCTTTGATCAATGAAGACGTTGTTAAATTATTAAGACAACAAGGATATAATTGGACGGATATAGCAAATACATTTAATATATCTGTTAAAACTTTAAGCAGACGGAGAGAGGAAAGTAATCTTCAAGATACAATTCAGCCATATACTGATCTTACAGACGATGAACTTGATGAGATTGTTAAGCAGTTGAAGTCAGAAAATCCATTTTTTGGACAAAGTATGATGATGGGTGCTGTATGTTCAAGAGGAATCAGAATTACTAGGCAACAGTTACGTGATTCTATTCAGCGTGTAGATGCTTTGGGTACTGTTACACGCAGGATTAATATCATTCCACGTCGTGTATATCATGTTGCTGGTCCAAACGCATTATGGCATATAGATGGTCACCATAAGCTTATTCGGTGGAAATTAGTAGTTCATGCTGGTATTGATGGATTTTCAAGGGTAATAACATATTTGCACTGTAGTAATAACAATACATCTGACACTGTATTTGTATATTTCAAAGAAGGTTGCGATCACTTTGGTACACCAAGTCGCGTCCAAGCAGACTGTGGTGGAGAGAATGTTAAAGTGCAAAGATATATGAATTCTTATCGTGGTGAAAATCGTGGAAGTTTTATTGCAGGGCGCTCTGTTCACAACCAAAGAATCGAAAGACTTTGGGTAGATTTAGCGCGTAATATAGTAAAGACTTATTTTACAATTTTTATGTATTTAGAGGATAGATGTGGATTAGATATTAATAATCCCATATACATTTTTTGCTTGCACTATGTATTTATACCTCGAATAAATCAAAGTTTATCCCAATGGAAAGCTTCCTGGAATAACCACAAAATTCGTACGGAGAATCACCAAACTCCAATGCAATTATACAGTAAAGGTATGATTGAATTAGGTTTTAGAGGAATGGAGGATGATTTAGTTGATCCAAATGAATACGGAATTGATTGGGAGGGTCCAACTCCTGCTGAAGAAGACAATACTGTGACTGTTGATGAACCAAGAAATGTATTGACAGACGAACAGTATCAATCTTTGCGATCAACGGTTAATCCATTAGAAGAGGATGAAGAAGGTTTTGGAATAAATATTTATAAAAAAACAGTTAGTGTAGTAGCTAGAATTTTAAGAAATAATTAGTGATTTATAAAAATTTTATGCAATTATTTCTATTTTTGTTTAATAAACTGAGATTAATATTAATTAGGAAAGACTACTTCTTTATGCTCATATATAAATCATGAAAATTTAAACAGTACATAAAAATTTGTAATAAATTTTTAATTTTTTGAAATAAACTAAAATTGTTCACATTTAAAAATAGTATTATAATAACTATGACAGGATAAAAAGGGATCATGTAAAAAGGGTAGTAAATCGAGGAAAAAGAACAAGAAAGGATGGTAAGTTGGGTAGTAAAGTATCTGGATAGTTTATTTCGTTTATATGTACAATTTGTTTTTTTAGAAGTAGATACTTTATTAATATTAAGATAATTGTATAAACACCTATCATAATTTAGACGTAATTCATCTGCTGCTAATAAAGTTTTTAGAATAAAAAAAAATAAAAATAAAAATAAAAAGAGATCATCACAAACCACAAGTCTGGTGATAATTTCAAGGATAGAACAACATCCGATCCATTGGAACGAGTTTGAACCAAAAAAAAACTTAACTTACTATTTTTATCAAATTATTAAATTAATTTGGCAATGTACGTAGATCTATGCTAAAAGCTCAGAAGTTGCTTATTTCCAAAAAAAGCCTATGAACAAAAAACAGGCGCACCTGCCGCAATCTGCTGCACCTGCCGCAATTAGGCGCCTAAAAACAGGCGCACCTGCCGCAGTCAGGAGCACCTGCCGCACTTAGGCGCCTCAGGCGCCTAAAACCAGGCGCATCCTGCGCATCAGGCGCCTAAAAACTATGTGCACCTGCCGCACTCAGGCGCCTAAAAACAGGCGCACCTGCCGCACTTAGCGCATCAGGCGCCTAAAAACAGGCGCACCTGCCGCAAAATGCGGCACACTTTTGACTAGAGCGGCTTGCCATACCATGGTGGTATAATAATTCTATGTGCAATATTTGTAATTCAGAGTTAACATTTACATCAGACTGTCAAAAGTATTGTGAAAATTGTTTTATATTTTATGTTGGATGCAGATATTGTTTAACAACAAACATTCTTTTTGGACCTACGGATCAATCTCAATGTAAAAAATGCAAAAGAATATCGTCCATAAATAGTGATTTTGATGGGTTTCTTTTTAATAATAATCTTATAACATGCGATAGTTTAGATTATTTGAAGTCAGTTGAATTTGAAAATATTGTAAAAAACATTAATAAATATTTTGTACCAGATAATATATTACGGTCTATATTTAAAGAAAAAAAACAAGCAAAACAAAATGATAAGTGGATACCATATCGATATTCTCAATTTAAAGATATAAAAGAAATGACAAAGGGAGGATATGGTATTATATATACAGCAACTTGGTCAAAAAAAAATAATAAAAATGAAATTGTCATTTTAAAAAGATTTGAAAATTCTAAAAATAATGGCAAATATTTCTTAAATGAGGTAAAATATTTTAAATATTTCTTATATAATTTATATTAAACTAACTAAATTTTTAATTTAATTTAATCTTTAAATTTAAATAGTTAAAATCATATTATCATTGTTTTAAAGACGAAAAGGGTCATATCATTGAAACTTATGGCTTTACAAAAGATCCTGAATTAGAGGATTACATAATAGTTATGGAATATGCATCAGGAGGGGATTTACATAAGCATTTGCAGAAGGGTTTTGTACGTATTACATGGGAATAGAGAAAAATTACGTATTTTACATCAAATTTCAATGGGGTATTTATATTTTATATATGTACAGTATTTATTAATTTTTTAAATTTAAGTCATTAATTTTTTTTATATTTTTTAGACTTGAAACTATTCATAATAAAGAATTTATGCATCGAGATTTCCATAGTGGAAACATATTATTTGATCCAAATTTTAGAGTGTTAAATGATGATTGGAAAATTGGAGATCTAGGATTATCACAAGCTGTGAATAGTGAATCATCAAATAATGAAGTATATGGAGTAATACCTTACATTGCACCGGAAATATTTAGGGGGTCTATATTTTCTAAAGAAGCTGATATTTATAGTTTTGGTATGATTATGTGGGAACTTACAACAGGTTGTAAACCTTTTGACATGATCATCATCTTATTTATAAAATTCTTGATGGAGAACGACCTAAAATTACGGAAGATACACCAGAATGTTATGCTGAATTAATGAAAAGTTGTTGGAACCCTGATCCTAAAAAAAGACCTTCTATAAAAGACATTCGTTTGGCTTTTGGTAGATGGATATATAAAAAAGTAAATAGGGAAGAATTTAGCCAAGGTGAAGCAAAAAGAGCGAAATTAATAGAATCAAAGAAGATTGGACCGGAATTTGTTGAAAAATGTCATTTAGGAGCTATTTATACAAGCAGACCATTAAGTGCTTTAATTTCTAAATGTTCATCCATATATTCATTTTCAACAATTTCATTTGGTAAGCGAGGTATTACAAAAAAAAAAAATTAAACGTAATTTAAAAATATTATAATTTATTAAGAAATATGTTATTACAAAATTTAAATTCTAATTACATCTCAGAAGAATTAGAGCTTGATATAGACATTGAAAGGTATTTCAAATAACAAAAAAAAAAAAAATATTTTTAAATAATACAACTAATTATTTGAATTTATTAATTTATTAATTAGTTTATCATCTCAAAATTTAAGTTCTACAATTCAAAATTTAGATTCTAGATATGTCTCAGCAGAATTAGAGCTTGATATAAACACTGAAAGGTATTTAAAATAATGATAAAAAAATGCTTTTAAATGACACAACTAATTAGTATTTAATTTATCATGTAATAAGTTCTGCAATTCAAAATTTTTCAACCTCTTTAAAAAAAAGAAGAAATGAAGAATTTTTAAACGTAGAATCTCATGATAATAGTGGTAAATATTCATTTGGCTCGATGTTATTTTATTTTACTTTCATTTTAATCAATTACATTAATATTTAATTTTTTCATTTAAATCAAATATAAAATATTATTTATAGGAAAACGTAATTATCCATAGAACTATAGAAGTAAAATATTTCATTATCCTGCAGATAAAGAGTATATAGAAATATTTAATAATTTTTTATTGGACTTTCTCACTATAATAATTTAAAAAATTATTGATTTATTTATTTTTTTTTTTGGCTGTATTATTTTTATTATAAAATATATTTAAATAAAAAAAAGGAATATTTATTTTTATTACATCGCAGACTGGCCTGATCCAAATCTAAAAGGCAAAAGAACAAAAAAAATTAGGAAAAAGAGAATATTAATAAAAAAAATAACTAAGAAAAAAATCGGGAAAATCGGAAAAAAGATGCTTATCGTAGATCACTGATCGAAAAAAATAATTAGGAAAGAATATTACTATATAGGTTATAGAGGGAAAAAAATCAAAACCGAAAAAAAAAATTAAAAAAAATCCGGTTAAAGAAAAAAATCAGTTAGTCAGTTCAAAGAAAAAATTTCATGTTTTAAAAAAAAATATATATATATATTGAAAAATAATTTTTCGGTTTATGCTGCGGCTAATCGCATCTCAAGAGATTATATTCCGGATAGGCGTTAATATTATCCGAATATGGAATCATAAGGAACATCTGAATTTTGGTCTCAATGTTAAAAAAAGAAATACTCTGGGAAAATATTAGTTATCGTACGGGCTTTTAATTTATCCGCATACGCGTAAATTGCTGCGTAATATTCACGTGATTTTTTTTGGAAAGAGCACGGATTTATATCATATAATAAATAAATTAATTAAGAACTAACACAACAATTGTTAAAAAAAAAAAAATATTACAAATATGACTTTGAAAAGTGTACATACTGTAAATTTATTGAAGTTTGTTATCATTTCTTTATTATGCTATCATATAACTTGTAAAATAAAATTTCGAAAACACTAAAATGGATAAATAGTATACTAAATAATAAAAATAAAATAATTTTTAAAAAAGAAACTTTTGAATAATATCCTCTGCATAGTGTTTGAAACACCAAAAAGGATAAGAAAACTACGAAGAAGATAGGTTACTATGGTTATTATGCTGAAAATGATAAGAATGAGCCAATGAGGGGAAGAGAAGGATGGAATTTTTTTTAAAAAAATTTTGGAGAGGTATTTTATATAAAAAAATTGCTATACAAAAGTTTTTTTCCCACGGAGTTAGAGTATAGAAAAATAAAAAATCGCAAACAAATCTTTGACTCATGATTATTAATCATGCGATCATGTGATCATGCATAACATTTTGCATAATAACTGTCTAACGAAATTGAATTTGATCAACTGGATATAAAATAAAATTGGATGACGTAAAGCATTTAGGTCTGCAGCGCAACGTTACAAATGATTTTACTATCAATAATAAATATAAAATATAATAAATTTATAATTTATTTACATTATGACTTTATTTACATGTAAATTGAATTGGTGGAGTAATTTGGGAACATGCTATTAAAAGAGGATATTTAGGATCACAAAATCTCTATATTTTTTTTTAAAAAAAAAAAATTTATAATAGAAAAACAAGATTCAATGGGATTAAAATCAGGGAAATAGAAAGGTAGGAATTCAACACGACCACCAAATGCTTCAATATAATTTATAAGGTCTTAGTGAATTCGTACATTATCAAGAACAAGACCACCTTGTCCAGCAGGATACGAATTCATTTGAGGTACCTAAATGTAAACAATAAAATTATAGATACTTTATTATCAATGTATACTCCTCTTCATCTTTCCATCATTCCTTTTCGTCTCCTATTACTCCTCTTTATCTTCCCATCAACGTCTCTTCATCTTCTCATCACTCCTTTTCGTCTCCCATCACTCCTCTTCATCTACCATCATACCATATTTCTCCTTTTTGTTTCCTATCACTTCTCACTACTCTTTTTTACTCCATTACTTCATTGTTATTTCATTTTTTATTATTATCTTTATTCTTGATCATTGTAATTTACTTATCTTTTTATTTATTGCTATTGTTTCTTTTATTTGTATCACTTCATTAAAAATATGGTGATTTTTTTCTTTAATATTGTGAATATTTAACTTAAATTTTAATATTTGCAAATAAAATTTCATTAAATAAGATTATTTTGAACAAATATATATGTTTGCAAAAAAATTTTTTAAATATCTTTTTAAGTTTAGCCGATCAAAAATTAGCTAAGTTAAAAAAATCAGCCGTCAGCCATTAATAAATTTACTCTATATATTGTACATCATGTGACATATTTGGAAAAAACCCGGTTAGTTTAGGGTTAGGTGGTTAGGATCTATAGTAATTTAATATATAACCAGGTGACAATTGCCCAGGCCACGTTTTGCAATTCCCTTAAATTTTTACTATTTTACTATTTTAACTTATAATAACCGAAATCTGCCATTTCTCTATACTTAATTTACTCATTATAAATAGAAAAAATCATTTGTTATCGTAGGATAGAAAACAAGTCCTCCATTTTCCCTATTTTATTATTTGTACCTTGTAACGCAAAGGTTATTTAAGTAAATAAAATATTTTATTTTTATATAGGTACTCCGTGAAGTTCCCATCCAAAGATCTTCAAAACACTTGCAACAAATACTCTTTTGTGGTAACGATCTGATCTGCTCATACGTTTAAGGAAATACTTTGGGTGAAATTTTAAATAATCATTAATCATTAATCATTAATCATTATTGAGTAGAGTAGCGTCCACCCTCCCACCTGGCGAACTTTGGGGTTATTTATAGATAATTTAAATGTAAAAAAAAAAAAAAAATTGTGTAATCTTGTGTAAAAGACAAATAAATTTAAGACCTGTCTCTTATACACATCNTGAAATTAAGACATGTAACGTAAAAAATGTAAAAAAAAAAAAATTTAATTAAATCCGAAAAAGATAATCAATAAGCCCCTAAGACTAATATAAAAAAAAATCTCAGCCACATCAAATACTGAGGCTTAATAATATACGATTAAGGAATAATTTGCGAAGATCATAAACAAAGAAAAAAAAATTTTTTTTTTTTTACGAAAATTAATTTATTTAGGTGTTCAAAAATAATTGATTGAACATACATAATTTAATAATCGATAAGCCTGCAATGACTAATTTTAGCAAACAAAGTATAATTGTTTATTAAATATTGAGGCTTAATGAACTGCATGATCAAGATATGTTTTTAAGATCATTAAAAAAAAAAAAAATTTTTATGATCTACTAATACGTTTAAGGATTAATTTGGTAGAAATCTTAATCAAAAAATATATATATATATATTTATAAATAATAAATAAAAAAATAATTGTTAAAATGAATGAAAAAAAAGTTTTTTTTAACGCAAATGATTTTATTTAATCTATAAGCCCCATTAACTAATTTATCAATGACATTATGATGTTTAATTACCTTCTTAGGAAATATTCAGGTTTAATCTTCTCCTTAAACTGCAGTTATTACAATATCGTTTAGTAATTGTAATGACACAATGTATATAAATATGGATGAGGTAATTATTTATTTCGAAAAAATTATACCCATGTTCTAAATATGGAAATACAAAAAATAATTCCCACATGAAGTGAAACAAAAAATATTTTTTTGAAAGTTACAAATTACATTATGGAGCCTCCCCCTTTTTAAATACAGTATATATATGTATGACATGAGTATGTTAGTGAGAGAAAAAAAAATTTTACTCTTAATTATTTACTCTTAATTACTCTTAAACAAAAAGAATATGCCCGCAAAAATCTCCACAATGTGTTACATTCATGAATTCACTGAACGACTTACTCTGGAGTTTACGGTAAATGAAATTATGGCTGTTGCAAGATTGAATGATGATGATCCGACAAAAATTTTATATTTGAGAGTAAAGGTCTTATGATTTTAATAAAGGCCAGGTGATTTTCTTGAAAGGAAAGTTCATTGCTTGCGCCAGTTGGTATAGTGTATGTATTGTTTTGCGCGTGTCCTTTTGAAATCAACCAAAAATTTGTTAATTTTTTTTTATTTTATAAATCATAAACATATCAAAGGTTAATGCAATGTCCGTTAAGTTGATTGATAATATGGAATTCGATGATATACCTGCGATTGGGTTAAATGTCATGATTATGGGACTAACCACCAAGACAGTCAGAAATATTGATAATCAATCAATTATTGATTTCTATATAGAGGAAAACTTAGGAGATTGGGAACCGAGAGAATTTTGGGTTGAGGTTCGTCATAATGTGAACCTCAGATATCTCACTAACAAGACTAATTCTATAAATCAAAGCATGCGATCTACTACTGCTTTGATTATGGGTACGCTAACCTATCAGATGCCGGTGCTCACCTTTTTTCTTGAATGTTCTGATTTTAACTTATACACACCTGTTTAGTATATTTTTGATTTTCAATTAATACATTATTTAATTTTTTTTTTAATTGTATTTTTTTATTTCATTAATTTTAATTATTAAATCTATTAAAATATTAATTTAAAATTTTTCATATTGATTTTATTAGTTTAATGTAATTTTTTAATAAAAAGTAAATAAAATTTAAAACAATACATCGAGTGAAAAGATTTATTTTCCTTCATTAATCTAATAATAATTTAAACCATTTATGATAATCACGATTAAAAATAAGCTTCCTAACATTTCGCACATTTACGAACTTTAATTTTATTATTAAAATTGAATTATAAAAAAATAATATGCTCCGACCCCCGATCATTGATCCCATGACGCTATTAATTAATACTCCCACATTTGCTCCCGTCAGTCCCGTATTCTCTGGTGGGTACTGGAACAAAAAAAATACTGGCTAGTTTATTCATTAAATCTAATCTAATCTAATCTATATCTATAAAAAAAAGCATTGTGCGACCGTGACGTTAAGACTACCCTAGCATAAAAAAGTGGATTTAAATTGGATCGTCCATCATCATGTGTCTGCGCCCTGTGCTACAGATTTTATATAGGGATTCGGAGTGGCGCATCATTTGACATTGATTAGCACAATACAATTTTGAATTAGGCTGCATAAATGATTGGCGTAAAAACAAATTATAGCAACTAATCCATTAGTACTAATTGTAATATAAAATATAAAAAATTTATTGAGCTATAAAAATTGTATAAGACTAGTTTTCTTTCCATGTGATTTAACCCAGGTGACATCACCTATGTAAAATTAAATCATGTGAATCTGGTAAATTTGCTAACGTATATTACATCACTCGATTTAGATTAGTTAAGGTTAGGGTTAGGGTTAGGGTTAGGGTTAGTATTAGGATTAGGGTTAGGGATTAGGATTAGGCTATTAGGATTAGGGGATTAGGATTAGGGTTAGGGGATTAGGGTTAGTAAGGTTTGGGTTCGTTGGAGTTGTTAAATTTGATGATGTCATTTTCTGATTATAAATCAGATCAATTTGTAATAAGCTCAATAAAATAAACTCTCTCTTATTTTCCCACATATTTTTCTTTTTTTTAAACGCGTTATTTGTTATTGTTTGCTATACTAAACCACAAATTTTTATTAATTTTCTTTGAAGGTTATTTGAACCTTGTTTATCTTTGATATCGTGTGATTGTTATCATCATTTAAAAAAAATTATTATTTTCGTGCTGCTTGTGTCTTGACTTTAAAAGCTGATTTATCTGCTCTAAATCTCTAATATGGAATTCTGTTTTGATTATAATTATTGTGAAAATAATTGTTCTGATTTTTCTATTACTTCTGTACGCCACTCTTCTGATCTTCGTGAAAGTGGAACAGATTGTGATGTGGAAACCTATGAGGAAGTTGATACTACTTCTAATAATAATGTTTGTATTTGTGATAACCTAATTGAAATTGAACAGAGTGATAGTGATAATGACATTATGGAGAAAGGAGATGGATTAGAATTGAAAGCAGGAATGATATTTGAGACCTGGGCAAAAGCTGAATCTTACCTTGATGATTATGCGAAACAACAAGGCTTCTGTCTTCGCAAAAAGAGACGTATACCTGATCCACATGATAATAATATTACAAGAAGGAGAACATTTGAATGTTCCCATGCTAATGTACATGAATCTGAAAAGGTTGTTTTAGCTGAGAATAGGCGAGATAGAGATTCAGAAATGATTGGTTGTACCTGGCATACAAATTTAGCATTTCCTAAAAAAGAAAAAGGTGTTCGTATTAACAGTGTTATTGGAGAACACAATCATTCAATGAATCCTCTTGTTGGTGAAATAGCTCCAAAATTTCGAAAACTTACAGAAGAGATGCTTGAAAAGATTAAATTTTGGAAGATTCATGGTAAAATGGGTATACCAAACCAATATAACCTGCTTGTTGCTTCTTTTCCAAACAAAACTATTAATAAAAAAGATCTAAGCAACGCTATTCAAAAATTTAAATTGCAAATGACACCTTCTAGAAATGATGCATGTCAGGTCCTTAATAATCTGTATTTAGAAAAAGAAAAAAATCCATTATGGTTAGTAAAGCCACGCTTTGATACAGATGAAAGAAGACTTAATTCTCTCTTTTGGATGTCACCTGAACAGATCCGCTTCTATGAAAGATATCAAGATGTTGTTATCATTGATTCAACATCACAAACCAACCAATTTGATATGATATTGTTGTTAATTACTGTTGTTGACAATAATTTTAGGAATTTGATAGTAGGTGCTGCAATTATAGAGGATGAAATAGAAGCAACATTTTCTTGGATTTTGCAAGAGTTGTGAGATGCTTGCAGTGTTACACCAATAGTGTTGTACTTAGTGCTCTGCACGAGCCAGTCCAGCTCGAGCTGGCTCGTGAGCTAGGTATATTGGGCTGAGCTGAGCCGTGGCTTGTAATAAATTTGGCTTGGCTCATTCGAGCCGAGCTTTGATACAGCTCATTCGAGCTGGCTCGCGAGTTATAAGTTGGCTCGCGAGCTCCAGAACTTTTTTTCTTTATTATTGCCGGCATCACGTGATTTTTAATTTTGGCCGGAATTAAGTGATCGATATGGAAATTTCCTTTTTTGAAATCCTGTACAATGCATTTCCCATTTTTGATAAGAAATAAAATTGCCTTTTTCAAATTGTGTAATGTTACTCAGGTATTCAAAAAGGAAATTTCCATGTTGATTACTTAATTCTGGCCAAAATTAAAAAAATCACGAGAAATATGCAGAATTTGATAAAAGCTCAGCTAGTAGTATGAAAACCCCAATTCTGGCTCACCCCCACCATATAATCTAAAATACTACCACTTTATATAATCTAATTACCACCATCATATAACTTAATTACCATCATATAATCCACCTACCACTTTTACTATAATTTAACTACCACTTTCATATAATCTAGTTACCACCATCATATAATTTTAATTACCACCATATAATCCACCTACCACTTTTACTATAATTTAACTACCACTTTATATAATCTAGTTACCACCATCATATAATTTTAATTACCACCATATAATCCACCTACCACTTTTCATATAATCTAGTTACCATCATATAGTTTTATTACCACCATACAACTCTATTACCACATTACAATCTGAAAAAATTAACCGAACAAGAAATAGGATTTCAAAGCCAACGGAGCCAAAAAAGATAAGGAAATATTAACCCATCCAGGAAACCAGCCATGGAGTCAATAGAGCGGAATAGCAAGGCAAGCAATTACCCTTATACCGAGAAAAAATGTAATTGAATAAAAGGTAGGTACCAAGTAACTATACAGATAAATAGTACATAACATGGTATATACCGCAGTATCAGCAATCCCTGAACTTGTAGGCCATATCCTGGAATACATTCCAAATAGAAATTTTGGGACACATCTTCTAGAAGTCAGCCCAATCTGGAGAGTTGAAGCTGAACGAGTACTCTGGAAGCGGTATAAAAAAGCCGAGGAGGCATACGACAGGGCAGTAAAAAAGAAGGAAAAAGCAAATGATGCTCTTGGCCAATCATTGGAGGAGGAGGGTATCCTCCATGAACTTGAATGGGAGGCATATCAAAAGGCTTGTAAAGAGAGAACAAATGCCGCAGTAGAGCATATTATAGTAAAAGAAGCTATTCGCCGTTGTAACTTACAACTATAAGTTACTTAAGAATAGAGAATACATCGGGACGAGGATGTGTTCGGTGACTCGGATGACGATGACTCAGATGGTGAGGAATAGTTTAGGAAGACAGTACTAATCTGTCTCCCTCTTTTTTTACCCTCATAGGGTAGGCGAACAATTAATTTTATTTTCAGAAAAAATGTAATTGAATAAAAGAGGAGTATAAAAAGTTTACAAGATGTCAACACATCAAGCAAGAAGTGCCCAACACAGACAAGTCACCCGATCAGTTC